CCAGACTACAGCTTACCTCCCATTCTCCTGTCAAAAGACATTCTTTCGTTTAAGGCCCAACTCAAATGACACTTCTCTTTGGAGTTTTTGTCTTATTTCTTAATACCCATTACACTTTTTTTCACTAGGAGTAAAAAAAAAAAAAAATAACAAAAAACAAAAAACTGGGGAGTAGATTTTTAGCCTAACCAATTAGATGCTTGCAACCAAAGTTGGAGTACCTGGCTTCCATTTCTGGCTACAACTCTTGACTCATCCTTCCTACCAGCTCAGATCCTGGGAAGCAGTGGTGTTGGCTCAAGTAATTTGGTTCCTGCCACCGACATGGGAGACCTGGATGCCATTCCTGGCTCCTGGCTTCGGCTCCAGGCCTGCCTAGGCTGTTGCAGGCATCTCAGGAGTGAATCGGAGGACTGTATGTGCTTGTTCTTCTCTCTGTTTCTCAAATAAGAGCAATTTGAAAAAACTAGTAGCCAGTGTAACAGAAGTCCCATCTGAGCCTACAGGAAATGTACACTTCTCTGGACCTGCCTAAGAAAGGGTGGAGTCTCCCACAGTACAATTGTATGATATCATCTGTTGGAAAGAAGTGGGAAGGTGTGATGAATAGGTTGGTACATAGGTTCTTGGGAGCAGAGCATAGAAAATGGAGAAGATATGCAGACTATCTCCCAACCTTGTTCCAGATATGCTCCTGTATGGACCCCATGGGGACAGGAGGTGTTGGGCCAAAGCTGACAGAGCTGTTTTCCCAAGAGACTCTGCAGAGAGACAGAGGGACACCAACAGGCTTGGGTCTGTCCTCTTAGATCAGGGGCAGAAGGAGAGTGTTAGCTTGCTGTCACTCTGACTGAGCCCTGACCAGCCTGGCATCTCTTAAGCTGCAGTCTCCAGCTGCAGTGGGAACTTGCGTGGCTGAACAAAGCAGCTGAGATCAGACATGCTTGTGAGCTCATATGAATTGCCAGGATCCTGAGAAATTGTCAGGAATGTGTGAAGGGCATTGTAGACAGCCAAGATCTTATATTTGAAATCTGGGACAAGATTCTGTAGAATTTGTATTATTACTATTGATTTCATCTCATTTATGTGCACAGAAAATGAAGCCTGGAAAAAACTTGGGTTGTGTTGACATTCATTTACAATCTGGAATTGTTTAAAATTTGTCTCCAAATAACTGTCTGACTTGATCACCATAAACTCCATGTGAGGTGGGTATAGCTGCCAGGTTCTCCCCACAGCAATGGATGTGAGCACAGTATTTGTGGAGGAGAGAACCCAAGACTTGCTGGCAGCTCTAATTATGAGCACAAATTCTTCTTCATATGGCTATAGGAGCATGGATAAACCATGATTACTCTGAGCTTTGATTCCTTAGCTGCAGAATAGGAATAGCAACTCCTTCTGCATGGGGGTGTCATGAGATCCAGAAATGACAAACAAATCCTGCATGAGTGTGAGAAATTATTATGGCACATGACTATGCACCATGCCATTCGTCTTCTGTCATAACTCAGTTACTCTCATACACATTGCAACAGACCAGAAATGATGAAGGAACAACCATGCCTTATTCATCCGTCTCAACTTGCCTTGCACAAAGTAGGAATTCAATACTATGGCATGCCCCAGAAGCAACGAGCTTCCCATCTCTAGGACAGGTCTGGGAAACAGGATTCAAATTGCAGAATGGCTTGGACTAGACACCAATCCTGACAGACCAAGGTCATTTATTAAGATTATCAGATATATAAGAGAGTCAGAAACGCTAGGACAAATCAAGTTTCCCAGGAATGCAATACATGGTAAGACAGGTAGTAATAAAGCATTGTTGTGGTTTACATATGGTTGGAGTGTTGCCCAATGATTGGAAGCTTGGTCTCCACACTGGCAGGTTTGAGTCTTTAAGAGACAGTGGTTAATGGGAGGTCCTGGGATCCCTTGGGGGCCCTGCCCTCTAAAAGGAGTTAGATCTTTTCTTTTTGAGCCCTGGGTAGTCCCCAAGGGAGCCTTGTTGTAGTAGGAGCAAGCCCTGCTCCTGCTCTGTTTTCTTATTCCTGACAACAGATGTGACTGCTCACAACCAGTGGCCCTCACTTGACTTCTGTGTCACACTATTTGGGCTTCCAGCCTCCAAAATTAAATAAGACTTAAATAAGCCACTTTCCTTTATAAAGCTAGCCTATTTTAGGAATTTTTTTGTTTTGGTAAGAATAAACTGACTAAATACAACTATTATAAGTTAGCAAGCAGGGACTTTGTTTATGGCATGCCATGTTACAGCCCTAGTTCACGTACTGGCTATTCCACTTCTGGTACAGCTTCCTGCCAGTGCGCCTCAGGAAGCAGTAGAAGACAGCCCAGGTACTCTTGTCCATGCTACCCATGTTAGAGACTGGAAAGGAGTTCCAGGATCCTGGGTTTATCCCAGTCCAGTCCTGGGTATTGCAGGCACATGGGGAGTGAACCAGGTGATGGAAGTGTTCTTTTTCCCTTTCTCTGCTTTCCTAATAAAATAAATCTTTTGCAGGAGAGAAAGTGAGCAGAGACAGGCATACCTTCCCAATTAAGGGCCAGGTAATAAACACTACACTTTGTCACATTAACATAAAAGCAGTTGCTGACAGAATGTGAGCAAAAAGAGTGGCTATTTTCCTAGAAATTATATTTAAGAAAAAGAAGTGGTGAGCTACAGTTTGCCAGCCCCCGAGGTGGAAGCCAGGGAGGGCACATAACACAAGACATGGAGAAAGTAAAAGCATGTGGTGACACAGAGCTAAGAGGGGTACCCCAAAGAGGAAAGGTAAAACTCTTGGTAAAACTTCAAGCACTAAAATGAACAAGTACATCACTGGAGAGAAGGCATTCTGCTTACACTGGAGCCAAGCAAATTTCATCCTAGAAGCTCAAAAGGAGAAAGAAGACTTTGGGGTTTTAGCTGCTAAAAAACCCATTATGAGCCCCACAGTGAGATGTAACAGGCTGCTTGGAGAACCAAATGTGCTGTTGGGCCCACTCATGAAAGCAGAGAGACCAGCCCGAATACCACTGACCTTCCCTGGGAAGATCATGTACTTGACCTTGAGTTCTGGGCATCTGACACATGGGAGGTACTCACTGGAAATCATATCCCCCTAATTTGCTCTGGCTGGAACAGTCTGGTGGTCCTCTTTGTAGCACTCTGAAAGGTGACGCTGAGTGAAAGGTAGGTGAGGGGTTATGGGTGTATGGAGGGGTGGAGCACAGGCAGCACTCCAGGCAGAGGTATAGTACCAAAATCTGTGATGGCCAGCAGGGGCTCACGTGCCTTCAAACCCCCAATGAGAATGCAGGTGCCCAGAAAGTGAGAGGAGCGGGTCATCTGGCTTTCTAACAAGTCTCCAGCTTTTTTGTTTCTGTTTTTGTTTTTCCTAAACATGTGTCCCTTTACCTGAGAGAAGAAACTAATGTGTTGACGTGTTCAAGGAAACATCGGGTGTATTCCACAGGAGGCTATAAAGGGAATGAGTTCAAGGAACAAGCGCGTCTATAGCAGGAGTTCTCATCACCACCAATAATCCACTTGCAAAGGAACTAATTACATTTGGAGAGGATTGTGTGCCTGATAAAATAATTAAAAATAAATTGCTCTCCTTGGAAATACCAATTGCTAAATGTTAACCCTTTGTCACACAGGCACTAAATAGCTGTATTTTCTCAAGTCTGGCATGCAGCTTTGATTGCACTCCAAGACTGGGTACAGAAAGGCCTCGGCATCTCAGAGGGCAAAGGAGGGGACCCTTGTCCAGTTGTTGAAAGCCTCAAGCCATGACATCTGCCTCCTTGGGACTTTCTAGCCAAAAGGGCAAGAGCTGACGCACCTGAACCCTGACCTCTGCTCCCAAGGGAGGGGACAGAAGCACCGTTAGCCACTTCCCTCATCACATGACTTGTCCACCTTCCCGTGAGCCTTTTGGCAGGGAGAGGGAGGGAAGTAGAGGGCCCTTGGGGTGGGCAGGGGCAGTGCCACACAAAACAAGAAAAAGCCCAGTTGTTACTTATGATGACTAAGGAAGTCATACTGAACAATAGCAAGAAACAAAACAACAACAAAAAAACAGGTTACTGTCTGTCTCAGCATTTTGTCAAAGAGCCAGTACAGGTTAAACACCTATTCCTAAGGTCTTGGAGAGCCATTTGTAGATGAGCTGGAGGAAGAAAAATGGATTTTTGTCTCAAAAGAAGCATGGAGGCACATGAGAGCATGTTCCTGGCTTTTCCTGCCTTGGAGACAGCAGGCTGCCTGGGTGTTACCACAGGATCTCATGGAATTTAGAGGCCACTCCTATCCTTACAAGGAGGAGTACAGCCTCCCATGAAGGATGGTCTGTGCAGGTGGATCAATGGAGCCATTCAACTCCTGGGGCGATACAAAGGAGCGATGAGGTAACATATATCACTGAAGTGAAAACTGGCCTGTGTGGGGGCAAAACCCAAGCTCATATGCAGAACATGGCAGTCATATAGCAAGGAAACAGGTTTCATAGGAACAGCAAAGTCAGGTAAAGTCAGAAATGCTGAGGATCAGGAAAGAGATGGGAGAAGCTGGCTGGAACAACTCAGGAAGTTCCTGGGATTATATTAGCCCCAAAGCTAACCATGTGTATTTGCATGTGTATCCCCATCACTTGCCTTCACCAGCACTAAGAGATAGCTCCTGCTCTATAAAATCTAGAGAGAGTGGACCACGGAGACCCAACGATTATGGCATGATGCAGGCTGATGCCCTCTGCAGCAAATTAAAGGCTCTTCCTTTCCACCAGTGGCCATTGAGTCTGGTGGTCAGTTTCCATAACAGCAGCACGAAACACCACCTGACCCCACAGAAACAATCAATAATACATGCGTGCTTGCTGATTGCTAAGGCCACAGGCAACGGTGACAAAGAGAAAATGCCTGGAGAGTCCAATCCAAAGACCTTGTGCTCCTTCCAGTCCGCAGCAGGTGCCTTTCAGCAGGGCTCAGTTGTCTTCCTCTCCATCCTCCATCCAGCCGGTGGTCCTGTCTCCAGCCCCGCTCAGATGCACCCAGGGAGCCTTCTGCTGCTCCTTGAAAGTCAGTGTCGCCACCTTCCTGGCATGCTGGTAACAGCAGAGCAGCGCCAGGAGCAGAAGGAGGAACAGGACCAAGGGGCAGATGACTAGGAAGTAGAGCAGAGAGGTGGAAGAGCAAATTCCGGAAAGAAATGTGGGTTCTGCAAAGAAGGGGAGACAAATGAAGCCAGCATCAGTTTCTGACGGCTGCGTCCTGCTCAATTCCTGACACTTGTGGGACTTGCTGTTAAGGCAAATAATGTCCATATAATGGGGCCAAATAGCCCCTTGAGCGGGCTCCTAACGCGGGCCAGGGAGGGAGGAGGGCGCTGCTCTGTTCTCCCCACGTAGCTCCCCCTGGGTATGGCAATTTCCAACACCGCTGGAGGTTCCAGTGACCTACTTAAAGACACCAGGCAAAACAAAAAAACAAAACAAAAAGCAAACCTCTCCTTTAATCTGCCTTCCTGGGAAAAGATATCCATAATTCAGCCCTCGTTCTCAACTGTGTTGCTGCTGCTGAATTTTTAACTGAGTTATTCCCACGGCTGCTTCCAGGGCACATGCCGCCCTGTTCTTAAAGTCCGTGCATCTTCAGTGAGGAGCCCCTGATAAAGCTCCCCCGCCCGCCCCTCCCAACACACATACACAGCACCTGCCGCTCCCCAACCCGGGGGTCCAACCCTTCGGCTCCCTGACCGTGTAGCTCCCCTGTAGTCATCGCTTGACCTACTCCAGGGACCCAACCCTTCTCCTTCCCAACCGGCTGGTACTACCCTTCCTCCACCTGCTTCCTACCTAGCCTCAGGCACAGTTCCTCTCGTTATCCCCTTTATGTAGACCTCTTTTTTGCCCTTCCACCCGTCCCCTTTGCTTCCTTGTCTTTAGTGGAGGTTTGCTGAGGATGCCGTTGGCTTTAGTATCCCCTGCAAACACGTGCTCCATGGCTTCTGCTGATCTGAATTAAACCGGATCGACTGCAGCCACACAGACAACGGGGACTCTGTGCAGGCAGAGACATTTGCTCGGCGGCAGCTGCCGTCCCGGGAGAAGAAGCGGCAACAGCAGCCAGCACGCTGAGCACGCACGAGCAGCCCAAAGTGGATGCTGACCACTCAGCCAGACTAGCAAAGGCAGGCAGGACAGCAAACACTCCAGTTTCCAGGAAGCTGCGTCCTGAGCAGCTGGTCAGTGAACCAGGTGTGCATTCTCCTGAAGCAGAAAGACACATGCTTAAAGGGACACTGCTCACTAAATGGGGTCTTCAAGCAACTTATATTTATTGATAAGATAGTACTTGAAAGCAGGGATGTTCTGAAAATTCTGATGCTAACAGTAGCTAACAAAGAATTTGCTGGAGAATTGGAATGATAGGAGCAATTTCTCTTTCAAAGATTAAGCAGTGGGATTCACGAGCTCACATACTCTTAAAGATAAAAACAGCTTTTAGAAGGCAGGTCAACCAGCCTTCTGCAGCAGGAATTCCATTTTGTCATTGCTGATGCATTTCCATGTGCAAGAATGTCTCTCTGATGGAAGTCAAGGAAGAATCTAGAAGAGTGCTCAACTCCAGCCTTGTGAACTTCTTGAGGGTAGAGCCTGTGCCTTACATGTCATGGGATCTGGGGCAGCACTGTGTGCAGGGCCTCCATGGAGCTCAGTGAGTGCATCCATGGCGCAAGTACATCTCACAGTTGGGAAAGCAGGGGCAGCTGCCTTCACCTTCCACAAGGTCAAGGTTATCACTGTGCATAAGTTGGCTGCTCTGAGTGGGCTAGTGAAGAGCTGCTTAAGGTTTGGGCTGGGATTTTCTCTGGGCTCTTTTCTATTTCCCAACCAAATTAAGTGGTGTGTGTCTCTATATGTGTCTGTGTTCGTGTATGTATAAAAGGAAACAATGATTAAGCTAAATTTTAAAATCTTGACCATCTCCTCTTCACATCCTAGCCAGCCCTGCTCCCAAACAACCCATCTTTCTTGATCATTATTCTTCTTCTAGGTTTGATTGATGTGTATTTGAAGGCCAGTGGGCCAAAGAAGGAATAGATAGCAATGCTGAAAGAGAATGAAGCCAGACTCCAGGTGTTAAGAACCCTTGTTTGGGGATTTTACAGAGAGTACCAAGTGAACACCTAGTGGGTCTCAAAGAGAACCAGGTTCAAATCCTAACTCTCCATTTAGCATTATATGTTACTTGTCCTGCCTAATCATCAGTTTAACGGTCCATCAAATGGAGATACTAATTTCTAGAGTTCTGTATATATATACATATATATAAACACACACACATGCATATCATTTCACAGAAGATTGAGGGTACTTGCTGAGTTGGCAAGCCCATAAGCATTAACTAAAATGCTAGAGAAAGTTATGGGCCAGGATAATCACAAGCAATCTCACAAGGCCGGAGCCTGCATCTCTTCTTTCTATCTTTGTCTCCAGACCAAAGTGACGTTCCCATGAGAATAAACAGAGGGCAGAGAAATGTGAGGTTAGAATTCATGGCACCAACTACCATAGTTGCTAACATGGTATAATCAGAATGGCAAGAAGGATCAATGTCCAGGACCTAGGGAGAGTTCTAAGAGTGCACAGTCTGTCCGCGAGACTTCAACATGACAGCACTGCCAGAGAGCTTGCCTATCTTAATGGAGAGGTTGGCTCCACTTAAAGTGCTCTTTTCGGTGCCAAACTGGCCAGCAGCAGCCACTTGCAGCTCTGGAGTTTCTCCATGACCCCTCCTGAGAGCACACTGTTTGCCTGACATCCTACAATCACCATGTCTCACCATCTGCTTCTCACCCATATCTGAACTAGAACTAGTGACATTCCACCATTAAGTTTTGGCAATTTCAATCAGTCCAAGTGCTCAATGCTCAAAGTACAAGGTCTGCAAAACAGAGCCAACAATGTAATGAGAATACTTCATCATGAGGTTTAGCTCATAACTTGCTGCTGCCCACAGCCAAATACAACATGAGGAACACTCTTTTTTTGCACTGTCCTAGAAATACATCTGAGGAGAGCTATGGAATAACAAGGGGGTTACCAACTTCTTCCCATATGCAACCCAAAACTTGAGCACCTAACCATGGCCTGTGTGCTCATGTAGGTGAATTGACTCCCATAAAGGATATAGAAGTGGGGTGAACTGACCTGGTAAGAAGTATATCCCACAATAAGTGTGGAAAAGGCAAGATTCTTCCCCCAAGAAATCTGTCTTAATTTTTCTGCCTTTACTTGCATAACCACATGTTCCAAGAGTTCTGGAATGTAGTCCTAAAGCAAAATCAATCTGAGAGGAACAAACAGAATGAATAGAAAACCCTTACGGAAGTGAGAATTGGTCCTATGTTATAATTAATCTAGGTTTCATCAACACATGGAACTGATACTCACGAAGAGATGAATCCACTGTGATTCTGTAAATACTTAAGCACCTGCCCCCATCTAGGCACTGTGCTAATTAGTGCTGGCAACATGATGCTCACAGTCTTTGTGTCTCAGAATTCATGGTCCGGCAATGGTGATGAATAGGCAATGGTGATGAATAGGCAATGGTGATGAATAGGCAATTGCAGGTGTAATGATGGAGAAAAAGGTAAGTCACTGCAACTGGCAGTTTAGCTGGTAGGCAGAGGATTAATAGATACTTACCTGGGAATGGTGGCATGGAGCATTCCAGTATGGCGATCCATTCAAACTGAGAGGTCAGACATTCAGTCATAGCTACTCTCTTCTACATTGTACCTTTTTTTCTTTCCTCTCTTTTCCCTGTGTAACTTAAAAGACCTCAAATTTTTAGCATCTTGAAACCAAAACAGAAAAAGTAGAGCTAAAAATGCTTTGACTAACACCTGTCATTTGTCACTACCTTTTCTCTTTTCCTTTCCGTCAGAGCTCTTGATAGAGTAATCTGCACTTGATGTGGGCACTTGCTTACTCCTCAGCCCACAGCAGTCTGATATCTCTCATTCCTTTTCTGTAACTGTCCTATAATGTCAAATGCAATGGACACTTGAAGCCTCTTATTGTAATCGACCCCTTAGCAGGAGTTCAGTGTGCAGACCCTCCCCCTCCCCTATGGACACCCTCTCTGCCTTTGCATTCTTGGCTGCCATCAACACAGCTTCTCCCCAGACCCCTCAGGCTCCCCTTTCAGGCTCCTTCACAAGTTCCTCATTCCCACTCCCCGATAAATGCTGCTTCTCTTGGAGGCTCATTCTGGGGCATCATTACTGGCTATAAATGGATAACTAACTGTTCATGTGTAGCTCAATTTGAAAGCCGTGATGTGTCCCAGACAGTTCCCCTTTGAGCAACTTACAGGTGCTCCAGTCTCAATTCCAGATGAACTGACTCAAAATTGAACTAATCTCCTTTTAAAGCTTTTTCCTGCATTGCCATGCTTGGGAAATAACTCCAGTCCCCACCTAAACCAGAATCCAACCATTTAGTCTTGCTTTTCCCTTCCACTCACTCACTCTCCACATATATGAAACCAGTTTCTGAATCCTGAAGATTCTCTTAATTCTCAAAACTTGTCCCTAAGTCACCACTGGTGCTACCATAACTGAAGTCTTCCACCTGTCTCACCTTCATTCTTACATTTTCCTTTTTGTTCTATCTGCTTCCCCTATAATTCCTCTTGAACACTACTCCCAGTTAGGTATTCTAAAATGCAAATCTGATGATGTCACTTCTCAGCTGGAACCGGTTCAATGACAGTTTGTGTGAGTATCTGCATTTCTCTCTGTGTGTGTAACATGTTTTGAGGCATGGGGGAAGTGAACTGTGCTAGATGCTTGAAACGCACTTGTGCACATAAGTCAAATGATATGCATATAATCTCATGGATAGTAGGTGGTGGAACTATGAAGCTTATCTGACTCTGACTTTGGGGGGCTTTCATCAGTCAAGAACTTGGATGGAAAAAACCTACAGTTCTAATGCTTATTGGGGTGGAAGGGCTTTGATTGTAATTATACAAAAAGCCTTCCATTGGTCATGGCATTAGTTACTTTTGAGACTTTGCAATTGTGAAGAATATGAAGATCCCTCAAGTTTTAATATTGTATTTTTAGAACTCAATTGTTCAAAATATTACAGCTGTTTCAAAAGGATTCCACAGAAAATAACTACCTATACATTCATTATATATATGCATATATATATATGCTTATATATATATAAAATGAAGGATCTCAACTGCCCCACAGGAAATGTGTGTTTTAGTCACAGAATATATACTGTTTAAGGTTATTACCTATCTATTTTGCTGCAAAAACTGCTGATTCTACAGAGCCCATGAATTCTAGTGGGAAAACATGTATGGGACGTTCTCTGGGGTTTGTGACTTCCTATAATTGTTGGAATAGAAGAAAGGCTGAGAGGAAAAATAATATTTTGCCTGGACACTCGCGAGAATAATTTTGCTGAAGAATAGAGGGAGCAAGAGGATGATGGTGCCCCAGGGAACGTAACAGATAACTCTGAACTCACTCTTGAAGCTTGGCTGCAATTGTCCATGCTTTAAGATGTTGTGTTTTTCCCTCCTGAGAAAGTTGGCCGGAGTCTTTGGAATCTTTCCTGATCATTTCTGTGTATTCTTCCTGGTGTGAGTACAAGACCACACCTATTCTCCAATGATCCTCCCACAGCAAGCTCAGCTTCTAGTTCACCTCTTGCCCAGTGGAACGAACTGACTGAATAAATCAACTTGGCTACAACACCTGCTCACTGATCAGCAGGGAAGATGCCCTAGCCTGACCAGGGGCATTTGGATTTCACTAGCAAGGGTTCAATAAATGGCTATTATATGCCAGGCACTGGCCCTCTCGTCCATCAGTCACCTATAACACTGCCCTCCTGAGGCTGAGTGTCCAGCTGAGAATGATGACCTTTGCTCTTCAAGAAGGGTCACCCTTTACCTTGTGTAGTTGCCCTCCTTGCTGCAGCCCCCAAACAAGTTATTTCCATGATGCCTTCAGGTGTTAGAATAGAAACTCTAAATGGGCTCATTAGCAACGTCATCCTGGCAGTTTGTGGAGCACAAAGAAACACCAGGAGGTTGGCACTTACTCATTGGGGCAGGTTTTTATTTTTGACATAGGGAGCCCTTAGCTCTGCAGTTGACCTTGGTTCAATCAGATCAAATTGTAAAGTCACCACCTCCTGTCTCTCATTCCTATTCTCACTTTAGCATTTCTGAGATGAAAAGATCAACCAAGGGATAAGCCTGTCTGCTTCAGCCATTATTTGGCTATTCAAAGGACATGACACTGGTGGCTTTGATGTTTGGGGGAAGAAGGGCAAGCAGGTCAGATGCTCCTGATAATTAAATGTCTGTGTTAAAAACTCATTTAGACTTTGTTCAGATGAGCTACTGTTGAAAGAGACAGCCATAGTATTGACTTTAGGAAATCTTAAAACTCTGTTCAGCCCAATGGAGAAGCAAAACGTTCCTGGGAGGAAAAACCTTCCCAGTCCCTGACCCCTGCATGTCAGGTGAATCCCATTACCTGAGGGCAGCACCGTGAGCATCATGCGTGGTGACTCATCTGATGCCTCGCTAATCCACCTGCTTGGCTGCCCGTGTAACTGCCACTCTGCCACTCTGCACCAGTACATTCCAGCATCTTCCATCTCCACCTGATGAAGCTTCAGGACGAAGTCTGCAGGAGATGAGCGATAGCAGTGCAGGCGCTCCCGAAGCCCTTCTCCAAATTCCAGCAAGCCATCATGCTGCAGGTGTACCAGCATTTTACTTCCAGAATTCTCTCTGTCCCAGTACCACATCACGGAGTACAAGGAGGCTGGGCTGCCTGAGCTCTCCAGGCCACAGCGCATGGCTACCTCTCTGTGCTCAGTAGCATTTTCTGTCCAGTTCACGTTGGAGATACGAAGCTTACTTCCTAGGAAACAGATGGCAGTAAGTTAGAGAAGAATGCAGACTGACCACGTACTCTGAAAAATCTATTTCTCAATGGGCAGATCCAGGAGAGAGATGGCAGTGGGGTGGAGAAAGAGAGAGCTAGAATGAGAGTGAGCCACCAATGGCTAATTCAAATGCCTGCAATGGCTTGGACTGAGCCAGGCCTAAGCCAGCAGCTGGCAACAATTTAGGTTTCCTATATGGATGGCCACGACCCAATTACCTCAGCTGTCACTGCTGCCTCCTAAGGCAGCTGGAGTCAGGAGCTAGGGCAGAGAGTGAGCCTCAGGAATAGGAGTGTGAGATAGGATGTCTTCACCTCTGCACCAAATGCCCACTCTCAATGTTTCAACTTTATTATTTATCCTTGGGCCCTGGCCCTCTTTCAGATTTGCCAGAACATTCTCTTCTGGAACCAAACCAGCCACTTCCCTTTTTTAACCCGACCTCTTGGCCCCTGGACCTACCACTGAGCAACACCCAGCTTGAAGTGGATCCTCTCATCTGCAGCTTCTAGTTTCTCCTCGGTTCTTTTCCTGTTTTGCTTCCCAGAGGAGCTATCTGGCCCTCTCTGCACCTCCAGCTTTGTATCCACCACTGCCCCTCCTTAACAAGCTACCCTCTGTGCACACCCAGGCTTTGCCTTTGGATTCAAGCATCAAAATATTACCCAAGGGAGCCATTTCAATGACTAGATTAGGTGATGTTTTAAACAGATTTTAATATCTAGTTTTTGTTTCCCTCCTTCCCCATTTCCACTAAACAGCAGGTGAGGACTTGGAATATCATTCAGAGTAGTTACAAACAAAATAAATTCCAATTCTATCATAAACATTTATTAATCTTCTTTTTTTAAAAAAAACTTATTTATTTATTTGAAAGAGTTACACAAAGAGAGAAAGAGAAAGGAAGGGAGGAAGAGGGAGAGAAAGAATGAAAGCAAGCTTTTACATCTGCTGGCTCACTTTTCAAATATCTGCAATGGCTGGGATAGGATGAAGCCAGGAACCTGGAACTTCACCTGGGTCTCCCATTTGGGTGCACAGGCTCAAGTATTTGGCCATATTTTGTTGTTGGCTCAGGTCATTATTGAGAACTGGATCAGAAGTGGAGCAACCAGGTCTTGAACCAGAGTCCATACAGGATGCTAGCACTACAGATGGAGGCACTACCCACCATACACTTTACCCACACTGGGCCCTGATCTACTTTTAAAAGAACAACTTTGTCTCATCTCAAACTTTTTAGTTACCATATCTACTTTCTGCTTTCCATCTTAGAGAAGCAGGTGAAGTGTTAGTTCATGTGATATTGTCTCTGTTTCCAGGCCTCAGACCACTCCCTATTTTATTGCAATCTGACTTCCAGTCCCAACACTAAATTTAGCCAGGGCCTGGTTACTCAGCTCAAGGGAAGCTCCAGTCTTTTATTATTATTTTTTTGCCTGCAATATTTATCACTGACATTCATTTTCTTCTTGAGATTCTCTTTTGACCTCAGAGAAAACTTCCCTCTTCCAATTCTAACCAGTTTTCCTATGTTTCTTCTTCAGGGGCTTCTTCCTTAAGTCATTCCCTATATCAGACTCTTGGCAACCTGAAGGCACATCAACCTACAGACCTGTTTTGTGTGACAACTACAGTATTTTATTTTACTTATTTTATTGTTTTTTTTAGGGGGAAGCAGAGAAAGAGAAAACACTCCCAGCTGTTGATTTGCTCCTTAGATGCCTGCAGACAGGAGTAGGGTTCAGCTCAGACCTCCCAAGTGAGTGGTAGGGTCCCAGGTCCTTGAGCCATCATTAGCTGCCTCCTAGGGTCACATACCAAGATGCTAAAACTGGATATCTTAACTCACATCTTAACCACCATGCTAAATGCCCACCCCTACTTGGCGTATACTAAGAGATTAAGGATTAGCAATGAATGTGCTAAAACTGGGAATCTCTCTCTCTCTCACACACACACACACACATACACAGAAATTATAGTTATCTCTAATGTACAAATGATCTGACAGCACTGAGCCCACATCTCTACATGGGCAGCATGTCTCTTTAAAAGGTGGCATACACACATGGCCAAGACTCAGGCTGAAACACAGCCTAAGCTATCATAATGCTCTTTGCGCCTTCACAGACTGTGAATTCCTTCAGAGAAAAGAGCTGGCCCTTCTATTTCTTTGTATACCCTCCACCTCACACATAGCATTGTTTACTTATTTGAGAGACAGAAATGTCCCATTTACTAGTTAACTGCCCTCAATTCCCACACCTGGATTGGGTCAAGCCAAAACTGGGAGCCAGGAATGCAATAGATGGCAAGAACCTAAGCACTTGAACCATCACCTGCTTCCTCTCAGGGTATGCATTAGGAAGCTGAAATCAGAAGCAAACCCAGGACTCTACCCCAGGCACTAAGTTGTGGGATGTGAGCATCTTAACTGCCATGCCAAATGCCTGCTTTATAATCTTATTTTGTGATGCTGCCTTGAAAACAGAATTTTAAGCATGAAACTCAACCAATTTGTTTGCGTTGTGCTACCAGAGCTTATCCAATTGCTGAACCTTAGCTGTGACATTCATTTAATTTTAATCAACATTGGAGGTGACCTAACCAATGCTGAGAGACCTAATCAACCCTGCCCACATTTAAACTAGTGCAAATGGGTGGCATTTCCATTACATTTTTAAAGATCTCCTGAGGAAGAGGAGATTCCCTCAGTAAGCCATTGCAACGGTTAACTACTCTTATTTGCCAAATGTTGAAAAGCAATTTCTCCACCACATCCCCATAGAGTTGTACAGTTTCTGTTCACAGTGGGAGAAATATGCTTCGTATTACTCTTCCTCAGCCAAATTACAGTTGAGCCCCATTGGAATGACACAGCTTGTTATTATAGAGATCCAGAGATATGATACTCTGGGTAGCTGCAGACCAGGCTGCCAGGCTGATAGGCAAATCAGTCAGAGCTCTTGCTCCCATCTCAGCTCCTAGGACTCTGGGATAGATTCACCTTGAATGACCTCACTTACTAAGTGGACTAGTAGGTGCTAGAGTCACTGATGAGTGGACATCAACTCTGAAATTCAAGGTCATCTTTTCATTTCCATTTAATCACATCATAGGATAGCTGCCCAAGCAAAGATGGTAGCCCTACAGAAAGACGCATGAAAATCCATACATAGTTTTTCCTAATACATGAATTTTTGAAGATCTCTGATATGCATGGATTTCAAATTTGCTTATATCAAAATTAGGTTGCCTTTAATTCCATTTCCCATAACTCTTGTACACTGCAAGGTTTACCTGTGAGCTTGAGCCTCAATTCTGTTAGTCCCGACTTCTCACGTCCCAGCTTGTACCAAGTGCTGTTTGAAGACAAGAGCCACTCTTCTACCACACAGTGATAGTGGCCCTGGTCGCTGTTATCCACACCCAGAATGTGCAGTTGAAACAAGTCCTGGGAAACTTTCTCAGTGTGAAATTTTTGTTTCTTCCAAGGGGTGAGAAATTCATCCCCGTATTTCACAATATTGGTTTGGTCCATTTCAAGGACCTTCAGCCAGGGTGCATTCGTAGAAACAGAGAAATACCAAATAACAGCAAAGTGAAGGTTTCCAGTGGACCAGGACAAAATGCTGCATTCTATGTTGATGTTGGAGTTGGGAGAGATCTCTAGGAATTGGCTGCTTGAATTCACTTTTAGCTTGCTCTCTACATGAAAAGAACGGAAACAGTTTTAAAAAGGAATTTAAAGGTAGAAGGGATATTAAAGATCAACCAAGGCAGTTCTTCCTACAATGTCTATGTGAATTCCCTTGACAACAGCCCCTCTAAATGCTCTTTCAGCCTGGGCAGCCTCTTTAAGACCAAGCAGCCCATTCCAACTGCAGGATGCTCGGCCAATAGGGAGAGCTCTCACTGATATCAAATTGAATTTTCTTTCTTCATACTCCATCCACTCTGCCTAGTTCTTGCTGCAGAAACAGATGGCAGAGGAAGCATCACCCTGAAAAGCCCAATCTCTTTTCCACATGCTAATAGTTCAGTGTTTAAGCACAGGTCTGCTTTCTGCAACATTGCATGCAACAAATCAAGGGGAAGTGGCATTGTTAAAGCTTCCTTTTCTGTGTGTTTGTTACCCAGAGTACTTCTGGATACACAGTCTGCCAGACTCTGCTTGTATCTGCCTTCAAACACGGGTAAACACAAGGAAGTCATCATGGGCTATTAAAATTGTATGTCTCTTTGATGGACTGTAAGTCTTGTTTCCAATTCTTATTCTGACTTTTTGCTGACATCCATGATTCTGCTTTTGTAATTGCTTATTGATGTTGACATAGGTCCCTTTTCTGTTCTTCAACAAACATTTATTAAGTGCCTAGTATACTCTATGCTGGACTACTCCAGGCTTTGTGGCTTCTCAGTGGCTCATAGTTAGAAGCAGAGACATACACAGGGATGGAGGCTTAGATATTACAGCATCATGTCACCCTGAGCTACAGGGTTAAAGAGAAGTGGTTATCAAAGCACATGGAAGGACCACAACCCAAATATAGGGATGACAAAAGATATTGAGCGGGCCCAATGCAGTGGCGCAGTGGTTAAGGTCCTCACCTTGCACACCCGGGATCCCATATGGGCGCCGGTTCTAATCCTGGTGGCCCCACTTCCCATCCAGCTCTCTGCCTGTGGCCCGGGAAGGCAGTTGAGGACGGCCCAAAGCTTTGGGATCCTGCACCCGCGTGGGAGACCCGGAAGAGGCTCCTGGCTTGGGATCGGCATAGCATCTGCCATTGCGCTCACTTGGGGAGTGAATCATCGGACAGAAGATCTTCCTCTCTATCTCTCCTCCTCTCTGTATATCCGCCTTTCCAATAAAAATAAAATAAATCTTAAAAAGAAAAGATATTGAGCTAAATCTTATGAGTTCATGGGAATAATTCTAAGGCAGAAGGTGTTAAAGAACTCCACACAAAAGAAGCAGCTTGAAACACTGAAAGGGAACACTGAAAATGGAGCAACTGTAAGTGATTTCATGTGGCTAAACTCAAGATGGGAAGTGGATGATGGTACAGGAAAGCCCAACTGTGCCAGATAAGCAATCTTGTGGAGCATGACAAGGGAGTTTGGACATAAGATGCATGTGGAGGAGCTGTGATGACTCAGGTTTCCAACATGCCTCACTCGTAGATCATGGAGACATGAGAATCATGCAGGAGTAGATCTGGATAATCATGATGGATTTATGTTTTTGTCCTTATAAGTGTGGACATGTCTTCGACATGTCTCTCCTGGAGGTCAGAAGGGAAGTGCTTCCGGGTAATGGTTTGGGGAAATTTTTAGGCTGTATCCACCTTGGGAGGGTGCAGAGTGGAAGGAAAACAAGCTAAAGACAAAACTCAAAGGAAGAGTTTTAAGTACTGAATTAGTAAAATGGTGACTTCTGCAAAAGACAATGAGAAGCAACACATGCTGTTAAGAAGAAACTCTAGTGTTATGGGGTCAAGAGAAAAAGAAGCTCCAAGAAGAAAGTCTTGGGACAATCATTTCAATACCAGAGATAGCACAAGTAAATGGGTTCATAAGCAAAATAACCGTGAGCACAAAACAACACTGAGCAGGAGAGATTATGATAGCTAACATGTTTAAGTATGTGTCAGGCATGGTACTAAGCATGTTACATATGTCACATTTAAATTGCACATCAGCAATTTACAGCTAAAGTAACTAAGACTTGAACAAATTGATTTATCATTGCTGCTATTCAATGCCTGTCAGGTCTAAATGACATCTAATCTCTCAGTCATTCTTAAGAGAACTCAAATTATGATACAGAAGATATACAACATAGCAGAACTTTGGCTAAGTTGTGTTTTAGTTTCAATCAGTCGATGAGGTAGATTTCATTTGACTGTAATAAGAAATTCCTTATATATTAACACATTAAAAAGAACTAGATAAAGGTATTCTGATGGAATTTACATGCTCTTGACTACCAGGCAAGACATTCCAACATTAGATAACTGGTAAGGCATGGGCAGTAACCAAGCAAAAGATTTTTCTCTCATCTGCAGTTGGGTCCTTGAGCCTCCCTGCTGTACTCTGGTTTCCTTCCCTTCCCTTTCCTGTCCTGTCCTTTTTCTTTCTTTATTTAGTTCTCTTTCTTCTCTCTCTTTGCTTTTTTCCTTCCTTCCCTCTCTCCCTCCCTTTCTCTCTCCTTCCTTCCTTCCTTCTTTTCTTTGTTAAAAGATTTATTTCTAGTTGAATGGCAGATTTACAGAGAGGAGAGACAGAAAGATCTTCCATTGTTGTTTTATTCCCCAAATGGTCTCAACAGCTGGAGCTGAGCCAATCCAAAGCCAGGAGTCAGGAATCAGGAGCTTCCTCTGGATCCCACGTGAGGGCAGGGGCCCAGGTTCCCTTACTCTTCTGCTTTCACTGTCCATAATAGGGGAGCTGGACTGGAATTGGAGCAGCAGGGACATGAATTGGTCCAACTACGGGGTGCCAGTGCCACAGGGGAGAAGCATTTGCCTGTTGAGCCTCCGCACCAGCCCCTGCCCCATGGGATTTTAGTCAGCAGGTGGAAGGAGCTTTATAGGAAGATGCTGAAAGGACATACTACAGTGGTTATATTAGCCAGTATAAAAGGATTCTAGTGTCTCAACCACCAACATGACCACCCCATGCATTCTTACTTGATGTTGGGTTGAATGTCACGAATCAATGATGCTTATTTATACAACACAATAATGGGGAGGAGATGCTTTAAATTATATTTCTGTGACTTTCCCAGGATGGGAAGGATGCTTTAAAACAACAACAACAAAAAATGTAGAACTTCAAGAGGTGCTTATACCTGGTAAAGTGATGTCTACCTTCACAGGGTGAGAGATGGCAGAGGCCCTTGCAAATGCATTTGTTTGTAGGACATTTCTGTCATAAACTTGCACTTGACACCTGTACATCCCCGTCTCTTCCTCAGCAGCATCGTAGATTAGGAGTTGAGAACGCCACGAAGATTGCAACACCTTCGTCTTCCTTTGGAACTGGGGTAGGAAATTCCCCCACTCAATAGTGCCATTGTAGGTGATCTGGATAAGCTGCTGGAAGACATGAGACCCAGCTGGCTGGAATTGCCATGTCATGGTCAGTGGATACCTGAGATTATTGTAGTTGGCAACAACGATGCAGGACAAGTCAACTGTGTTGGTTAACTTCACTTGTGGTTGACGGCTCAGCAGATTAACTTGTAAACTTGACTCTGCACACAGAAAAGTACAACACAATTACTGCTATGCTTCCGAAATCCAAGTACTTTCAAGCATTTCTTGTTGCTCCTTCTTCAGATTGTTCATTTGTATATTTGGAGAGTCATATATTATGTATGGTCTGTCCTGCCTGCTGACCCTGTTTTCTAAAGCTGCTCTCTGTTCTACCACCACCCACAGTAATGACAATGAGTAGGCAGTATGTCTCCAATTAGGGACTTGGACAGCTGCCCCTGGTGGGTAGAACCCTCCCCAGCCTGGAGGCTGCTCTCCCTCTCCTCCCCCTAGGCATGGATTCAGTATCAGCACCCTCTTGCACCTGCTAGAAGACTTTGCAATGACAGGCAGGCACAGCTACATGTTTCCACAAGTTGTAATTCATAGACATTAAAAAAAAAACTTTAACAACTTATAAGTTGCACTCTAAAGATGATCTTCATACAGATAAAAAAAAACTGTAGCGATTGATGGGCAGAGCCTATAGCCAGTGACCATGTGCTGTGTGTCCTGAGGTATGTGGGGGACTCAGGATGACACACGATCAAATTCCACTGCAGGATGAAAAGACGGATACACGTGTTCAGGGAGGGAACCCTTTGACACTTACGCAGAGACTTGACGGTCACTGCAGTCCTTTCAGTCCAGCTCAGATTTCTGGCCTGCCTCCAGGTCCCTTCAGACACTCTGCACTCATACGTGCCACTGTCCGTGACAGTGGCAGAGGTGATCTCCAGCTGGAAGGTGGCCCAGTCGCCCTTCTCCAGCCTTGCGTTACCATGGTTACCGTGTCCCCTAGAGGAGGCTCCCAGCTGCACAGTGCCATCCTGTGTCATGGCAGCCACCAGCTCAGGCTGGGTCTGGTCCTGCGGGGTGTGCCACCAGCTCACAGACAGCGGATGGGCTGCTCCCCCCACCTGGCAGAGGAGGGTGAGCGGCTCTCCTTCCCACACAGCCTGTTGCTTGTTCTTAGTTGACACCATCACACTTCTCGCTGTGGATTTCAGATTTTAGAAGAAAAGAGGGTTTAGGTCAATGGAAACAAAACAAAACAAAACAAAACAAAAAAGTCTGACACACACAAAAAGCCAGTTTACTGGGATTTGATTGGCTTGTCACAAACCAGATCTAGTTGTTTCCTCCTTCACCCCCTCCAGGGAAAAAGATTTGCTAAACATTTGAAGAGTGGGAACAAGAGAGTAGAAAACATATCAAGCCTGTTTCTACTTACATAACTAATCATCTGTGTACATTTTTTAAACCAATTTGTTAAATTGGCCCTTCCTTAGGAATACAGAGTTGGGCAAACATCTGTGTGATACTGTGTTAGATTAATTAGGGTAGGGGTATTGGACTGGAAGTAATAAAGCTATATTTATTTAACTTCTTAGTGTTTCCAAATTCATATCTTTGGCTTCAAAATGATCCTCCTCTTCCTACTTATCTTTCCCTAATTAATCCTAATTCATTTAGAATATGTTTCAAACAGGGAAAGAACATTATTAAATCTCTGTTTACAATACTACCATAAAATAATGACTAGGAGGAGGGACAATTACTTGGGGGAAATATACAAATACACGTATCTGTATAAATACGTTTACACACATATTTATACATTGACATACATATGTACTTTTTTAAAGAGAGGAGCTTTTTCGATCTAAGCCACAGTTTAAAAAAAAAAAAGTAAATGTAAATGTATAGATGTAGGACTAGCTCCCAGATGGGAAGTTAAAGACACAGAAAGGCAGACATCCACTCAGCAGCCACTTATTGCATAGCGTTTTGTCCTGGTTGTAGGCAATGCAGACACACATTAGGAGCTCATACATCCTGCACAGCCCAACACCATGTTTAAGGTCAAAGCCCCTGGAGTTACAACTACCCTGGCAACCTATTCAATCTTTCTGAACCTCGGTTTCCTTTCCTGTAAAAATAAGGACAGCAATACCAGTTTACTGGCACCTGCAAAGGGCTTAGCCTGGCTAGCTAGGGTAAGTTCTCAGTAAAGGTTAGCTGTTAGCATCCGTGTTTAATGACATGCACCTGCGAAAGAAGAGGTGGTTCAAAGCAAAAGAGAAAAAGCAAAAACAGAGCTGGCATTAGCACTCCTAAGAGGGTCTAAATGAATTTGCAAATTGCACTTCCCTGCTGAGGAAGGAGTTCAATTTGTGTTTTATGTATACATAACATGTAAGTTCCAAAGGCAAACTGAAGGTTAATGTTCATAAATGGGTTAAAGAAATTAGCAAACTTGCTTCCAGAGTTTGCATGTTGGAAGCATGATTATACTTTAAAATTTTTTTTAAGTTAAAAATAGACTCATCACTGAAGTGTAGAAATTAGAGGGGAAATTATGACACATATCCTCACCACTTTAACATAACCATTATGTGTTTCAACTAACATCATTTAAACAAAAAACCCAATGAGGTTTCCTTAGCTCATTGTGGTTGTTATTGCCTCTTAGTAGGAGATAATAAATTTACTAAGTGTGTATAAGTTACACGTTCACAGTGGTAGTGGATGCCCCCTTCTGTTTAAAATATTCATAGAATGATAATACTCTTCTCATACTTCAAATAATGGAGCAGCATACTAAATAGGGTACTTAATGAATTTGCTAATGTTCCTGGTTCTGCCAAGAAGGCGCAGGCTGGAGTTGAGTCCATGCAAAGAGCTGTTTTCTGCTTTGGGAGTTGCCTCTCCTGTTGGGTTGAGTTGCTGTGTACTCAAAGCACGCCTTTGGACATCTTTGGCACAAATTGCCACCTCCCAGGTTGAAGAAAGCCTGCAGATTGTTCTAACAGAGTCTGAGACGTATGAAGCAGAGATTTAGCTCAATGTAAATATCCAAATCTGCCTACATTGTTTTTTTTCTGAATCCTAGAAAGTTAGACCAAATGCTCAGTGTGAAAACTCCACCAACACACTTCCTGGCCTGCCACTCTACACCAGAGCTTGGGCGTCTGCATTTCTGGCATCTGGGATAATAGAGAAGAGAAAAGGGAATTTATCCATCTTCAGAGATGCTTCCCATGAGTAAGTACAACAGGATGTCTTTATTTTTAGCTCAGCTTACTTTTTTTTCTAATTTTGAAAAACTTGGTTTGCTTTTGGGCAATTACTCTTTCTAAGTCTTTAAATTTAACACCCAGTCCAGAGCATCTTAATATTAGCAGTGAGATTATCTATTTTGTCTCCACGCTGAAATATGGATTATCCATAAGGGATGAAGGTCACAGAGTAGAGGTGAGTTGAGTGTTTTTCTCAGTTCTGTGTATCAGCTATTCAGAGCCTTTTGGGCAGGTATCTCATTCCATCACAGCAAGTTCAGGGACTGAAGTCTGTGTGCCATCATCCACCTCTTCATTTCCCATTTTAACTCAGTATTACAGCCAAGCATCCTTCCTCATCATGGGTTAATATAACAGGCAATTAACAGAAGGCAACTGAATGATTTAGCCCAGCTTTGAGATGTAACCAGGGTGTTCCCCCTGGAATGGCAACAAGAATAGCAATGCTTAATCAACTTTTTCTCTTCCTTCCTTCCTTTTTCTCTCTCTCTTCCCTCCTTTCTTTTTCTTCCTTCCTTCCTTCTTTCCTTCCTCCCTCCCTCCCTCCCTTTCTCCCTTCTTTCCTTCCTATTTTCTTTTCTTCGTTTCTTTCTCTTTTTCATTTTTTCTCTCTGTCTCTGTTTCTCTCACACACAGAGCAAAGAAGTCAAAGAATCCAAGGCAGTAAGAAGGGACTTAGGGTCCCTCTGACTGCATGTCATTGTTACATAGACAAGGAGGAAGACATCTAGAGAAAGGAAGTGATGTGTCTGTGGTACTGGCCCAGGAGTTGGACTCAGTTCTTCAGCTACGGTGGATACTTCCCTTCACGCATTTCACCTGCAGCATGATCTGTTTGACACTGAGGCATCGGGGCAACATCCTTTTCTGTCTAGCAAGGTGCCCTGCACTGTCTGACAAAGGAGCCATGCCCCGTGCTGTCCTTACCCACCTGCTGGCTTCTTCAGGTACACGTGGTTGACCGCTGACTGCTTTCTCTGAAGCTCCTGCCAGGAGCCCGTCTGATTTCTCACCACCTCTGACACAGTGCAGCTGTAGGCACCTTCGTCCTCTCGGCCCACAGAGAAGATCTTGAGGGAGAAAGCCTTGTGGTTTAATTTTGAAACCTGCAGCTGTCCTTGACTTGCTCTCTTTTCGTAATCTTTGCTCAGACCCAGGACTCCATCAGCATCCATGTGGGCAATTTGTGTCCCATTGAAGAACCAAACGCCCTGAAGCTGTTGGTTGCTGCCATTGCCCTGCACCAGGCAATGGAGTTCTAAGGGTTCCTGTTCTGCAAATGTGCTCTCAGCTGTAATGTTGACTTGAAACCCTGGGAAACAAAAATAAGGTTGGTAATTAGAGAGTCCACTGCGTCTATGCTTGCAGTAACAGAGGATGCCACATTGCAGGAATACCACAGGGTTCACCTTTCATTTGGGAGTTCAGTTCTATAGTGGCAGGTAAGCAAAAATAAATAAATAAATAAAAAGAAAAAAGAAAATCAAGTCACTGGAGTGAAATATACCCTGGCTGCTCTTTAAATCACCTAGACAGGATATTCCAGGGAGCTTTTGGAATGCAACCCTTATAAACAGGATGGAGGCACAAGTGTAGAAATCACATACTTAGGTATGCTTTTTAAATTAAAAAATATTTTATACTATGTTGAATGGTTGCATGCTGTGATTTATTACTTCTTCATGGCTAAGACTATCCAGAGGAATTTTTGTAAGTGAAAGGCACATGTGGTGTGGCTCTGCAGGACTTAACTATGAGGCCAACGGGACAACTTAATTGAATATGGTAACTTTTTAAATTTTTATTAATAGAAACAGAATCGATTTTGTTAATTTCAGGGACACTATTCTAAGACAACCCTACTTCCTTCCCACCCTCAATTAGAGTGACTTCTTTAAAAAGAAAGGTGGAGTGAGAACCTGGTCTAGAGTTTAATATGTTAATGTCCCACACTCAAGCCCTGGGTTTGCACCAGACTCCGGATTCCTGCTCATACAGACCCTGGCAGGCAGCAGGCATAGCTCAGGTAACTGGGTCCCTGTCACTCACATGGGGGCCTTGGATTGAGATCCTGCCTCCTAGCTTCAGCCTGGCCTCGCTGTGATCACTGTGGTCATTTGAGGTGTAAGCCAGCAGCTGGGAGTCCCATCTCCTCTCTTTGCCTCTCAATTTCAATCCAACAATGACTTTTAGCAAAGGATAGATGCAATTTTAACAACTCCCTCCTGCAGGACCAACACTCATGCAGAAGGCCAAGGATTCAGATTTAGGCCTTCCTACTTGTTTGGATGAAAATACCAGTGAGGGTTATAGCATTCCAAGTTGGGAAAAGGAGGGTTGGGGGAAGGAAACCTCAGGTCTGACCAAGCCAAACCTTGGGTTGAGAACTGTTCCTACTTTGAGGTATCCATGGTGAGTGTCTCTGCAGGGAGACTGGTCTGGCTCTGAGTCCAGGCCCTCTGTCAGTGGCTAGGGTGAGGAGGGTGGGGATGGGAGGTGAGTGGGAGGCAGTGGTTATGGTCAGACAAGCTCAGCAACCTCTGTTTTCCAGTGGGGTGTCAGCTTCTTGTCTTTCTGGGTGACTATGAGTTTTTCATTAGGGAAAATAGGTAATGTGCTTGCACAGAGCTGGCTAAAAAGGGAACTCCATTTCCACATGTCTCAGGGAATCCATCTCACCCCCAGCAGGCCTTGTCTAGTGTCAAACCCCCAGGGGCAGAAGCAGAACATCCTGCTTAGCTATACTTCCCCGAGAGACAACATTTACTCAAAGCTTTCCGCCACATTTTCTGGGAGCCAACAAACGATCAGAGAAAACGATCAGAGGCACTCCCTCCCTAACCCACCACTGTGTGTTAATGAACTTCGTGAGAAGATAATTACCCGCTGGCTGGATCTTCAGAGTGGTGGGAGCCGTCTTCTTGTTCGCGATGCAAGTCCAGTTGTCATCTGGATCCTGAACCCACTCGGCTGCCTCACAGAACAGCTGGCCTTCATCTGAGGGCTGCACTCTCCCTAGGGACAGCCTGTAGGTTGTGACCCCAAGCTTGTCCAGCCGTACATCACCTGCCTCAAACCGCTGTTTATACGACGGTCCAGGGATCAGCACCAAATCTTTGGAGAGAGAAACGATCTCGGTGGCTTGAGCTCGTTCTCCATTGGGCCTCAGGTACCAGGTGACAGAGAGGTGTGTGTGATGGGCTGTGGCTTTGGAGGCCTCGCAGACCAGTTCTAAGAATTCACCTTCTTCCTTGCTGAGAGTCTTGGGGCTCATGGTGGCAGACAGGGTGTCTGGCAGAACTGGAAGCAAGGAATGATGGTCAAATGACCCGCCTGCTTATGTAGACAGCCCTCGCAGGTGGAACCTGAGCCTGCAGCCCTGTCTGCACGGTGTGCGCCTTGGGATGGATTTTTCATCAGCCATATGCTTTCCCCATTGCCCATGGGAACATTGGCATCTGTGTAGTCTATGGAACTTGGCAAAGCGAAGAGCTCAGTGATGTATTGACTCTGGCTTTGCTTCATCAGCATAGCTGTAACCAATTCAGGCCCTCAGACATGGAGTATTTAAAGGGGAACTTCATGGGGAGCTGCAAAAGTTGCATCCTGATCCTGCATCTGTTCATGCCACTGCAGCCACAGGCACATCACTTGACCTGCTGGGCCTTTCTCTGCTTATTCATAAAATGCAGTTCTGAAATAATTTGTGAAATTTTACCACTCAGTGTCAAGGTTTAATCCTTACTGAGGTTTTGCAAGTATCCTTACACCCTCTCATTCTCTTTTTCCTCAAATAAAATCAGACACCCAAAGGTATATGAGAGCAACATGTTGGATTTAATCACATTTAACTGCATTTACTTTGCATCTATTCAGTGTTAGCCACTGTGCTAGGGATTAATATGTGCATGCTCTTCTCAAGGTGTGGTGAGAGAGATGCTAACAGCCAGTTGTCACATGGCTGGTGAGTGACACAAACAGTGGTTTGGATTGAGTACCAGGAGGAAATAAGTCAGAGCCAGCATCCCATTGGAGAACCAGTTTGAGTCCTAACTGCTCTGCTTCTGATTTAACTCCTTGTTAATGTGCCTGGGAAAGTGGTGGAAGATGACACTGGGACTTGGACCTCTGCCCTCCATGTGGGAGAACTGAATGAAATTCCTGGCTCCTGGCTTTAGCCTGGTCCAGCTCCCTGGGGAGTGAATCAACAGATGAAAGAGCTCTCTCACTTTTTTTTCCCTTACCCTCTCTGTCACTCCACATTTAAAGGTTTATTTAAAACTTTTTAAAAAATTATAAACAGATGCAATATTGCTTTAGCAGTGAAGAGGGATTCCACGGATATACTGTCTATCCTGGTTGCTAAAGTAGATGCAGGATTTTGCTCAACTTAAAGAGGGTACTGTACAGTCCAGGCAAAAAGGCAAAAATAGCAATTGCATGGACAACAATCCTCTTCTCTAGGTAAATATGCTGGGGGATGGTAGCTTGAGAATAATCATTTTTATGTTAGTCACTTATAATATTAATACAAGTTCTCTTGTCAAATTTCTGTTCTGCCTTCAAGAAGAGAGGATATGAGGAGACTGTTTAAAGCTTTGTTTAATGCTACTGCTAGTACCAACCTACACATACATGTGGAGACCTTTGGAAGACTTCATGTTGTTAAAAGTTTTATGGCATAATGGTTGGGATGAAGGGGATACCTATTGGGGACCCGTCTCTAGCATATCCAAATGGGTAGGTGTGTCGTTTCCCAAAGCACGTGGAGCAGCATAAGGGCAGAAGGGCATGTCATGGTGCCAGGCCCTCTGGCTTTATAGAATCTAGATAACAGAAGCAGACAACTTACCGGTGAGATTAGTCTTTGCACTATAACTCCCATAATATTTCTCATCAGTGCTGGGAGTGTGACATTCATACACACCAGCATCCTTCATCTGGAGTGTTGAGATGTGCAACAAAACGGAGTTGCCCTGCACCCTCTCCACATAGATGTCCCCCTTCTGCACTCGCTGTGCATACACTGTGTAGGCGAAGTTGGTGTCCTTGGTGCTAATGATCTGGATTTCTTGAGCCGGATCTGTCGGCAGGTACACAGACCACTCGAAGTGCTGCTCAGAAGGTCCCTGGTGGCCTGTTACGTTGCAGCCAATGCTGACTGAGTAACCTTCAGTTCTATACAGTGGTCCTTTTTGAACTGTGACTTCTCTCTGGCCAGTGCTGAGCTTAGCTTGCAAGGAGGAGGAAGAAAGAGGAATAAAAATAGATGAGCGTTTGGGTCCCCAGTGTGCTGCATTATGTAGCCTCCTATATTACAAAGCTGGTAAATGAGAAGGAGGTTATTAGCTATAATCAACTTTAATGTTGTACACCTTCTTCAGGCTGAGCAGTAGTAGAACAGCTTGATGAGTTCATTGTTCTTTTATAACTTGAACTCCATAGTAATTGCTAGTCTCATTCTTAAAGAGTTAAGCTTCATCAATGTAACATGGCTACTTTCATAAAACATCTGCTTATCTAAGTGTGCTTACTTTAAAGCACAGACAATGTATGATGATTGATCTTTCATGGGGAAATTTAGCATCCATGTTCTCAAATTCCAGAGTACCTGCTCCTCCCCCTGACAGAAAGTCTCCAGCTCTTTTCTAGGTGCCATCATTGTTGTAGCTGGTTGGTTGGGACAGTTTGTAGCTCTCAGCCAGGTCTGAGAATAGACTAGCTAAAATTAGCATCTGAATGGGCAGCACCACTTCCTTTCTATACAGCACAGGTAGACATATTCTTTTTTTTTTATTGTCTTGTGATTTTTCTAAGAGCCTGTTTTACTGAAATACTTGATAACAGATGAACTGTGAAGTCCAGTAGATCCCAGGTTCAGAATTTATTTTAGTTCTTTGTAAGCAAGAGGGTATCAGGACTGGCTCTTGTGGAAGTAAATCTCAAATATTAGGTGCAAAGAAGAATGCAAGATGAAATGGCAACATTTGAAACAACTTTTAAATCAAGAATTTTTCGGAACTCGAAGGAAAGGTTTAATTATTAATACTAACATCAATCTTTAAAGGTTAGTTCATTTTGCGTTGTAGGCAGAACAAAGACTGATGAAAGAGTGGTCACAAGGATGAACTGGATCTTTCAATAGGGTCATAGAGCTTGAGAATAAGGAAGTCAGGGCTGAAAACATCAGAATGGGCCAATGGGAAGGGACTGCTGCTGCAACGGAGCTAACAGCATGGAGCTCATAAAAAGTGGAAGAACAGCACCTTTGCTACATTTGGTGACTCAGTAAGGACAAAGAATAAAGGACACCTGAGTGAAGGGTGAGGAGTGAGGGAATGGAAAATTATAGCAACCATAATGATATTATAGCAAACTGAGCATAACAAATCTAAATGAGATGAAAACAATTGTAAAATAGATAGGGAGATCCACACATACACACACACACAACAGAGAGAACAAGTGGCCACCTGAATATATCAACTAAACATTGTACATATGGGGGTCCACATCATAGTGCAGTGGATTAAGTTATTACCTGAGATGCTGGCGTCTCATTTCAGAGCACAGATATGGGTCCCACCTGCTCCACTGCCATTTCAACTTCCTACTAATGCATCTGGGAAGTCAGCAGAAGATGGCCCAAATGCTTAGGTTCCTACCACCCACATAGGAAACCTAAATGGAATTCCTGGCTCCTGGCTGTGGCCTGTGGCAATTGGGGAAAGAATGACAGATGGGAGAGCTCTCTCTCTTTCTCTGTCTGGTAGACAAAGAAATCAATGCTCAATCAACTAATCAACAAACTAAAACACTCCAGTAATAATTTAAAACATGCTCATTTATTCCTAAATCTGAAGTAATAGATTTATATCATGCTCTTTTTGTAACAAGTACTTAAGAATGAATGTTAAACCACCTTAGAAAAATTTATTACGTACCAAAATGTAAACCACAGAGGCAATTTTAAGCATTTTTCAGTATTGCTATCTTAGAGAAATGTGTACACTGTATGCCTTACTATGTGAGAAAGAATATTGCTAGCTATATTGCTCATGTGGTAACCCATATGACCACCAATGGCAGAAAGCATAAACTGGAATATTTTACAGAACTGAGAATGAATGGAGCAGGTATTTGGCAGGGTAGTTAAGCTATCTATTGGGATGTTTGTATCCCCCATTGCAGTGCCTAGGTTCAAATTCTGGCTCTGCTCCTGATTTCTGCTTCCTGCTAATGCGGACTTTGAAGGGGAGCGGGTGATGAGTCAAGCACTTGGGTCCTTGTCAGTGGTAGGAGACTGAATTCCAGGTTCTAGTCTTTAGCCTGGCCCAAGAGTTATTTAATTATTAAAAAGAGAGTATTAGAGAAAAGGAAAGCATGATTTTCTATCCACTGATTCACTTCCCAAATAGTCATGACAGCCAGGGCTGGGCCAGGCTGAAGACAAAACCCTGGAACTCTATCCTGGCTTGCCACAGTGGTGTCAAAGATCCAAGAACTTTCTACTGCTTTCCTAGCTTCATCAGGAGGAAGCAGGATCAGAAGTGGAGTAATCCAGACTCAAACTGGCACTGCTATCTGGGAAGCCAGCATCACAAGCACTAGTTTACTGTGGTGAGTCACAGTAGTGACCCTAAATCCAGAAAGATGGAAAGAAGGGAGAAAGGAAGGAGGAAAGGAAGAATTTGAAAAAAAGTGAAAATTAATTACAACTATTCTCAGTAACACAAATGACTGTTCAATGGTAGATACAAAGCACTTTTGAATCCTTTGACAATGTAGGAAATGATTCTACAGTTTACAAAGTTTGAAAACTGGCAAAACCGCACTGTGTTGTCTAGTGATGCAAGTAGAAGTGGTAAAAATCATTGAAAGAAAAAGGAAGTGGTTATCGTGAAAGTCAAGAGACCAACTGGGTTGAGGAGGGATTGTGGGGTGGGGGTGGGGCACACAGCAGGTGGTCTAGGACCCCTGGGGTAATGATAATGTCCTATTTTGTTGGACTTGGATAGTTGATCACACAGCTTTCACTTTTTACTTGTTTGTTAAACTGTGTATTTGTTTTGTTAACATTTTCTTATGTGACATTTCACAATAAAATACTCTTGTAAGAAAATATGCCTTTTAGCTACTGCTAATCTGTTTATATCAGGGCATGTTGCCACAAACCAGGTTATTTTTGGTGGCTGGGCGACACTTCTGCAACATTTTCCATCACTTTTCAGAGAGATGGGTACCACATTTGAAAAGTTTTATTGTGAAAACTAGCACTTCATTTTCTAGTGCTTTATCTGCCAATTCAAAAAATATTTATCCTTGATGCTTGAGAGACTAAAATATGAGGCTGCGTTTGGGAGTCCCTGCCTTGTAGATTTTAAGATCTTGTCAAGTAGGGTGGTAATCATGTCTTTGTGAAAAAGATATAAATAAAAGTGCTTATAGGAATTTGAAGAAAGTTGCATTTTTGGAAGAAGTGGGTAGTAGGAAAGATTTTTAGAAGAGGTGGCATTAGAAACAGACTTTGGAGACTCAGAAAGAGTCTGATCAAGTCAGTGGGGAGGCAGAGCCTGTTAGATGAAGGCCACTTCCTGACATGACTATATTTGGCGTGGAAATGGATACACTTGTTTAGAAAACAGAGAATCATCTCCTGAGTGGGGGAAGTTGCTGAAGATGCACAGAGAGGGTATCCTGACTAGAAATTTGGGGTGCAGAACAAAAGGGCATTAACTACCCTGCTTAGAAGTTTGGATTTGGTGCATTACAGGTCACTGAAAATGTTTGCAAGGGTTTAGGACAATTAACTAGATAGTTATGAAAGTTGATGGAAGTTAAGATAAGCATCCGGTAAGTATAATGGTCTAGGGAGCTTCCCTGGAGACAAGAGCTACAGAGGTTTCAGTGTTTGGGATTTTGGGGGATAGCATAGGTAAAGGATAGGATGGGGGGAAGGAGAATTCATGGATGCTATCCAGATTATCATATAAGGTTGGGTGTAGAGTAACAGTACTTTTAACAGAAATAGGAGTATCAGGAAGAGCTACTGCTGTGTTGGTGAAGGAGGGCATTTAATTTTATAAACAGGATAACAGGCAAACTCTTAGAAATATTTTAATGTGTGTGTGTAAAATTTACAATAAGAATTTCAACTCTGAAAATTCCATAATCTAATTCTTCCCTCAACTCTGTGTTATTCCCATATTTGGTAATATTAAAACTTACAAGAGATGAGTCAAGCTTGAACCCAGACATTCAATTGCCTAAACCACGGACGGCATTTTTGTTGCTTCTCACTACTTCCTGTCAGCCCCTGTCAATAACTCGAAACTAGAGGACTGGGAAATTTTAGAGAGTATGAGGAGAGCCCAAGAGATTGCAGAAGTGAGGGAGGCAGGATATCCAGTACCCAACATCTGCTTATCCACGAGGAAGAGACTTGCAGTGGTGCTCAAGGGTGGTACGTTGGGTCTCTGAATCATCAATTGGAAGAGGTCGTCCAAAGACATTGTTGTAGAAGAGGTTCTGATGGAGCAGAAGCCAGTGGGCTTGAAGAGTGGCAAGTGACTGCAGGAAGTGTAAACTTCTTCAAGGGGTCCCATGGAGGAGAGAGAAGACAGGGATGGTATCTGGGAAGGGTGACTAGGTGAGACTACAGCTAGAAGGTGCCATCTACAAGGAGCAGGCTCTCAGCAAGCCCTGCACCTGCTGGGGTCTTGGACACCCCCCAGGCTCCAGAGCTGTGGACAATGAATTTCTACTGCTTGTGATAACAGCCCAGTTGAAGACATCTGGCTTTGTTAGAAAAACAGTAGAAGTGCAGTGAAGGCTTCTGAAGTGTTTCTGGGGTAAAAAAGGACAGCGATCAATTCAGGTGGGTGTGCCTGGGATCCTGCATTGAAGCATCTTATTTTAGATCTGTTCTCTGGGGGATGCTTCAGGAGCTGAACGTTCCTCCTCCTAGGGAGGGAGTCAGCACAGAGAGCTGTTTCCTTGCTTTCTCTTTTAATAGATGGAGGGCTAGGCACCCCTTGCACAGCAGCGAGGTCCTTGCTGACCCATGAGTAAGCAGTTTCATGGTGACCTACTAACAGGGAAGGCATCCCCTGTTAGAATTCCGTGATAACATAGGCATTCTTACCACCCCCCCCCAAAAAAAATCACTGATGGGATTGTCATATTTACCATCTAAATAATTATTTGAAAGGAAAGTATTAGGTTGAATCCTATTAAATGGGCCATATTTGATTATTTTTAATATAAAACACTTGAACCAATTTAACTGATACAAAACCTACCTGAGGAACAGACAATGTAATAAGCAACTTCTCTTTCTTTACATATACAACAACCTTAATGCTTGGAGGTGAAGAGAGCTTCCTTCTGTGATGAAGTGGCGTCTTTTCCTAACCCCTAACCATGGACACAAACAAACAGTAGCCTCTCCACCAGTGCCTTCCACCTTCCACGTTAATGGCCTTCGTCTGTAGAACAGGAGCCTGACTTATCAAACAGGCAAAGCGGTTGCCAAGTCCAGAGACCGCTTACCCATGACATTCATCTCCTCTGGTACCATATCCTGAAGGGATTATTTAGTCTATATTTACCGGGAGGAGGGGGGAACAATGAAGAAGGACATATACATTTTCTAAACTTTGTAATTAATCTGTGATTCATCATTTTGGTTACTGCTTTACTGCTGTTCTTTTTCTTATATTTATATATTTATAATGACAAATAGCAAGCTTCCAAAGATTTCAAGTGACTTCCTGATTGATTGATGTATCCTACACTGAAAATCTGTGATTCTATGCAAAATTAGTGCTTGATTTTGAGTCATAATTTATAGTACATAAATATATAGTCTGCTGTAGGTGGATTGTTTATTTAAAGAAAAGCTTCCAGCTTCCCCTTTTTGAATCTTGGTTAGCACTTTCCTTTCCCCAAATCTTCTACCTTGCACAAAACACAGAGAAAGAGAAAAGAGGTTTTGTAACTCTCTGATTTATTGCACAATGTAAACCCAGTTTCCATTAAGCACAAGGCAAATATTCTCACGCAGTCCAAACACACAAAGCACATTGATTCAAGAGCCACTCAGACAACTAAGCAGGACAAATAGGGAAATACAGCTATCCCCAAAGGGTCCCATCCAGGCTCTTGTCCATCAACACCTGCCACAGCATTCTTGCAGGTGAAGAAGACACTCCCTGCCTCTCCAGCAAAGGGCCTAGGACCTTGCCCAAGATCTGGTCTTCACCTTACACAGTCACACATCCCTTGAGACATTAGCCCAGTCTAACTCTGCCAATGTTTATTCAGTGCTTTCTCATACTGAACACTTGGTTTAGTTGCCCACATCCAGGCTGTTCAAGTCTAACTCCATTCTGTCTCCCAGAAGCTGAGTTCATAATGGGGGTCCATTTACAGGATTAAAGGATCCTACACACTGGAGTCAAAAGGCCCTCAGTCCCTTATTTTCACTCGCCTCTAACAGAAATGTAACACTTCCTTCTATTAAGAATGGAGACAACAAACCACAGAGTATATTCATACCACATTATAATTGTTACAGCTATATTAAAATATTATTCATGCTTATCAATATGCTGAAGTTTAGCGATTAATAGTTCCATCTCCAGATCCTCTCCTAAGATGCATAAAGAATTAAACAAATCACTATATCACAGTGCTAACAAATATTGTGATAACTGTATTTCAATGCTGATTTCTTCTATAATCCTATGCCTTTAAAAAAATTATTCCAATCTGAGGTCTATAAACTTCACGAAAGGCTAAAAGAACCCATAACACAAAAAGTTGCTGCTACCTGTTCCATCTGGTATGGCAATATTTCATTCTGTCTGTGGTTTACCTATTCTTCATTCTACCTCTGAATATCCCTCTCCTTCACTCGGCTCTCACGGGAAAAAGAGCCAGGAAGGCGCTTCAGGGGCCCTTCAGCAGGGTCAATTGAATCTCCCAACATCTTCCTAAGCTTAAAGTTGCCAGGTAAAGTTCATGGTCTCCTTCTAAGCTTAGTTTAAACCCACTAGGTGCTCTCTTAACATAACCTTCAATCCAGCCATATCCCAAGACAGACAGGAAAACGTTAAGTCCTCTTCTTGGTTTGGGAAGCTAAGTCTTTTACTCTGTCCTGGAAGGATTAGCCCAAGAAGATGAGATTTAACCAAACCCAAGAAAAACTGGTAGATCTGGCAAAGTGGGCAAGCCTAAAAAGCAATAGAAAGAGGTACCATGGAACTCAACCAAGCACTGCGCCTCCCTGAAACTGAAGGATGGCTAGGGAAGCCAAGACCTACCATTAGAATCAATAATGACTGCCCACACCAGAAAAATGTGGCCTCGTTGTTCCTGTGAAGACCTGAATGTTAACCTGTTCCATCACCGAGCAGCCTTCAGACAGCCAATTCCTGGGAAGACAGCAACATGCAAAACAGTGACACTTACTCAAAATGAAAAAGAGAGATGCCACACTCAGGATGCGTGCCATTGGGGACCAGAACGGATCTTTCACAGCTGTGTCACCGAAGCTGCTCAAATCTTAGTGACAAAGGCCACACTTGCTGCAAAAGCAAAGAGGAAGCGATTGTGTGGTTTTCAGCCCACTGAGAAGCAGAGGTGGCTTGCAAAGAGCCACAGTGGCTGCATTAAACAGGTCTTGGTGGATCACTCATATTTGGGGGCAAAAAAGTGATCTTTAAGGTTAAGTAGGCTCATACAGATAAGAATAAGAGCATTTATTCAGCCTGAGTGAATATGGATGGACCAATTTGGTAATTAAAGGCGACCGTAAATGCTCTCTTCTTGGCCCTTACTTCCTTTTCCTTCCTCAGGGTGCTAGGAAAACCTGGTTCTAAGGAGAGGTGACATGGTGGTGAGTCAGCTTAGTTAGGTTTGCACATAAATTCTACTTTTACTTAGCTGTGTGATCTTAGAAAATCTAGTTAGTGGCAGGCATTGTGGCATAGCATGTTACTGCCACCTGGAACACCTGCATTTGATACTGGAGCGCCGTGGGGTCAAGTTATGGCTGCTTTCTGCTTCCGATTCAGCTTTCTGTAGGTGAGTCTGGGAAGGCAAGGGATGGTGCTCAAGTTCTTGGGGTCCTTGTCACCAACAGGAGAGACCTGGTTGGAGTTCCACACTTTTGGCTTCAGCCTGGCCCAGCCCTGGTTGTTCTAGGTATTTGGGGAATAAAAACCAGCAAGTGGAAGATCTCTGTCTCTGTTCCTCCTCTTCTTTCTGTCACTATGACTTTCAAGTAAATAAATGAATGGATCTTTTTAATTTCTTAAAAAGGAAGCTAATAAACCTTGTCTAACCCTCTTCCCTAAAATGGAGATGCTAATAGGGTGTACCACATTAGATTGCTCTGAGAAGCTGAATTAGTGAATTCATGAAAAACACATAACATCTGGTTTGAGATTGGCATTCAACAGCTCTCAGCTACTATCATTGCGTGAGACATACAAGTGAGTCTCTACCTGCTCAGGGTCAGCCTGGGTACAAAGATGGCAAAAGAGCTGCTATATGCACAAGTAACCTGTTGTAGTTCGTAAGGGCCACACCGCAGAATGGACAAACTTATTGAGAACTTTAGTTCCCAAGGTCAAGCCTATATTGAGACAGGTTAGTTTCAAACTAGTCTGTTTCAGTCCATAGTTACAGGTAGGTCTTTGCTCCCTCCTGTGTGTGCCCATCCGTCTGTCCATCCATCCATCCATGCATCCATCCATGCATCCATCCATCCATGCATTCATCCCCTGTAAGTTTTTTTTCTGAGTTCTGTGGTAGTTTCTGCATACATAAAATGTGTGCAATCCAGGTTTCCACTCTTAGGATGCTTCCACTTAGCTATCCGCAGTATAATGAGTCAACCATCATGGACGGGCAAAAGAAGGAAGTGGTGGGCAGGAGAGCAGGTCAAGATGGATCGAGCTGAGCCAGATGAGTCAACCAGGGAGAAGGAGGGCCCACACAGGAAAATGGGGCCTCCTTGTTCTTGTGAAGACCTCAACGTTAACCTGTCTCATCACCCAGCAGTCTTCAGACAGCTAGTTCCTGTGGCGATAGAAGCATGCAGGGCCCGGCGCAATGGTTCAGTGGCTAAGTCATCACCTTGCAAGCATCGGGATTCTACATGGGCGCCGGTTTTTGTCCTAACTGCTCCACTTCTCTTCTAGCTCCCTGCATGTGGCCTGGGAAAGCAGTAGAAGACGGCCCAAAGCCTTGGGATCCTGCACCCACATAGGAGACCTGAAAAAGTCTTCCGGCTTTAGATTGGCTCAGCTCCGGCTGTTGTAGCCACTTGGGGAGTGAACCAGCAGATAGAAGATTCTCTTTGTATCTCCGTCCTGTAGCTCTGCCTTTCCAATAAAAATAAATACATCTTTAAAAAGAGCCCAGCGCAGTAGCCTAGCGGCTAAAGTACGCACCTCACATGTGTCAGGATCCCAATATGGGCACTGGTTAGTGTCCCAGTAGTCCTGTTTCCCATCCAGCTTCATTCATGTGGCCTGGGAAAGCAGTCGAGGATAGCCCAAGGCCTTAGGACCCTGCACCCATGTGTGAGACCTGGAAGAAGCTCCTGGCTCCAGGCTTTGGATCGGCTCAGCTTCAGGTGTGGTGGCCACTTGGGGAGTGAACCAGCAGATGCAAAGATCTTTCTCCCTAAATCTCCTCCTCTCTGTGTATCTGACTTTCCAATAAAAATTTTAAAATCTTTAAAAAATGGAGAGAGATATAGAATAATCATAATTATCCAGAAAGAAAAAGAGAGATGCCACACTTAGGATGCATGCCATGGGGACTAGCACAGACCCAGCATGGATGGCAAAGCACAGGTTTTGGTGTATAAGTTCAGACTGGTGTAAGAAGGGAGTAGGCTGGGCCAGCCCTTAGTGAACTTTGTATGCCAGGTTTTAAATTGTGTGTGCTTCATTTTAAGGATCCATTTATTTATATTTATTTGAAAGGTGTAATTAGAGACAGGAAGAGAGACAAAGATTGTCTGTTTCTTAGTTCATTCCCCAAATGGCTGCAATGGCCAGGCCTGGGCCAGGCTGAAGCCAGGAGCATCTTTCAGTATCCCTTGTGGGTGCAGGGCCCAAGCACTTAGGCCATCTTCTGCTGCTTTCCCAGATACATTAGCAGGGTGTTGGATTGAAAGTGGAGCCTCTGGGTCTAAAATCACCACCCATGCATAATGCTAATGTTGCAGGCAGAGGTTTAATATACTATGCCACAATGCCAGTCATAGACTGTACTTTTATCTTGAAGGAGATATGAATAATTAAGAGTATTTAGCAGGAGCATAGCCTTTTTTTATTACATTACACTTTATGACACAGTTTCATAAGTTCTGGGGTTCCCCCAACCCCTTCCCGTACCTTCCCCCCATGGTGGATTACTCCACCTTGTTGCAATATTACAGTTCAAATCCAGTCATGATTCTTTCATTTCAAGCATGTACCATGAATAGAGCCCAGCATCTTATTGTCCAGATAAGCTCAACAGTTTCTTGGGGAGACCATCTCTGGTCTGAAAGCAGAGCTGGCAGAATATCATCCCGATCAATTAAAAGCCCCAACATAACATCAACAACAATTTACAACCTTATGGAGTTAATTGACATGGTATTGAGTGACCAATACGTTAGAAAATGCTAGTTCTTAACCACGTCCTGTGACTACCTCATTAACATTTCTATTTTGGTTTATACACAACCGGCTGCTATACACCTTAAAATGGCCATAGGGTACTATTCAGCTATCTTGTGTCTATTTTCATTTTTGTATTTAGCAGTTTATAGTGTTGAGGCATAATTACTGAACTTGGTGGATTTTAGGATAAACTGGCTTATAACTCTAACAAGACATATGTCAACAGTTGAGGTACAGAACAGTTTTAGGAGGGGTGTGCAGAGAAATCTTCAATACCTTAGTGAGGAGTAACTTATTTTTGTGTCCTACCTAGTAAGGTATATGTGAGTCCACGCTGACCATTTCCTGTCTGGTTCTAAGCCTTCCTTGTTGTTGTCTATCTATTATAATTTTTTGTCTTTGTTTTTTTTTTTTTTTTGGTGGGGGTGCTCTGGAGTGACCCTCATGGTCATTGCAGGAGAGGGTGGGGATCCAAAGTTGGAACTAAGTAAAGATCAGAGAAAGCTCCTCTCCCTAGTCCCAAAGGACATTTACTGTTCTTCTGTTTCTGCAGACTGCTCAGGGCTCCTGGCAATTGTTCCGATGACCTTGAATCCTGTGAGGAAGGATTTGGGCTTCTTCCATCCCATGAGGGAGATCCAAACGGGAGTGGATGACCTCAGAGTTCTTGGCCTCTGAAGGCACTCCAATTTGCCATGGTCTCCTTGGCAGTTGGGATGTAGTCCTTGGTGCCCGTACTGATAGCTCTTGGTGAGGATCTGGGAGTCTCCAGGGTTGGGATACAAGCCTCCTCCTGTCCACCTGAGGAGCATAGCCTTTTAAAGTGAATTCCATACTTGTGTATTTCTAACTGGTTGAAAGGTAGGGTAGAAGGGAGAAAGCCAAGTACACGATTTCTGCAGTTGTCTGATTTAGGACCCTGAAAACAATATCAGAGTCAGTGAAGTCATCAAACCGTCATGAGCACCCCCTAGAGGTGTTAGAGAGATGTGCATGATTAAACCTTTGATCTTGAGAATGGTGATAATCTTGGATGGTGAGTGGGACAGAAAAACATACCTGAGCTCACACCAGAGAGATGAGGGGGAGGCTCCTGAGAGGGACAAGAGAGGAAATACAGACATTTAGAAAAGGGAGAGAGCATATTTAATTTGGGGGAGAATGGGAGGTCAGGAAGATCTTCATGGGAAATGTTAGGATTATAGTAGAATGGAATAACATTCTACAGACTCAGCTCTAACAGCTTCTGTCTTATCTATCCATCTAATCTGTTAAATTCATCTATTTTATCCACCAAAATCTATCATATATTTTGTTATCTATCATGTGTCTACTGAATCCATCCATCTTATGCCTTTATCATCAATCTATCCTCTATTAAATCTATCTTATGTATTTAAGCTATCTTATATATTCACCTAAAATATAAGATACATTATCTATCTTATCTCTCTATAATGTCTATCAACCATCTGGTTTCATTCATTTGCAATGATCTCTAAAAATTAGTCCCCTGTGGCAATCTACTTACAAAGAGCAAAGAGGTCTGCATTCCCCTTCTCAAGGTCCTGACTATGTTAGGCAAGCTTTGGGGGATAAAAGAACCATAAGAAGGAGGGCTGCCCTCCAGGCTCTTGGTAACATTCAATTCATGGTTCACGCAGGATGTACCCAAAAAGTTAATAGGCTGAAGAGACAGCAGGCACCAGAGAACGCCATCGAGCAAAGTCTGGTGGGACAGGCACTCTGGTGAAGCAGGTTGTCACCATTTGGTATATCTACAGCCCATCAGGCCTGGGATTCAGTTCTGCCTACGCTTCTGCGTTTG